CCTTGAGCAACCTGATCTAGTGAGGAGGTGTCCCTGCCCATGGCAGGGGTTTGGGACTAGATGATCTGTAAGGTCCATTCCAACCCCTAAATTCTATGATTCTGTGATTCTATGAAAAGCCCAGAGAAATGTATATTTATCTCCTACTGGAGCATGGCAAAGATATAATCAGCATAATCTTGATGGGTATTGCCACCAAAGTAGAAGCCATTCTTCAATTCTTCTGAGTGTTACCACACAGACAAAAAAGGAGGGAAACTATCCTTTCAAGTACCTTTTCTAGGTACTTTCCACCCTCTGTGGAGATTGATTTGTCCTTCTGAGAACTCTGGGTTGAAATCTGTCGATTTCTACTAACTATAGTGAACTCAGGGCTAAGAGGTTGCAGGGTAATTTGTGACATCATCCGAAGAAAGAAAGAGATATGACTTTATGTCTTTATTTACCCATGTAATTATCATTAACAATTTCCTTTTCTTTTTTTGTTTGTGCCTTTTTTTTTTTTTGGAAGTGGGAAAGGGAAGGACAGCAAGTTTTGGAAAAGTATGTGTTGCATTTCTGTTGACAGAAATTAGAAATAATCTGCAACTATAAAACTTGAAGATGCAAAAGTAGGAAGGAATAAGAATAGACAAAAATATGAAAGGAAAAAGGAGAACTTTAAAAGTCCCTGCCTTTTCAAACTGTTTTTCACAAATTATTCTTATTCCCAGCTCTATTGGTTCACTGTGGAGTTTGGTCTCTGCAAGCAAAATGGATTGATCAGAGCTTATGGGGCAGGATTGCTTTCATCTTACGGGGAGCTTATGGTATGTGTCAAATGCAAGCACTGGAAGATTTCTACAATCCAGTTTCCTGAACTCTCTGGGTGAAACAAGCTATGTTTTTCTCACATAAACTAATATGCTTTAAAATTCAGGTTTTTCTTTCATAAATTCTTTTGTAAATTTTGTAAATTGTGTTAATTCTCCCTTCCCAGAAGCTATTGAGTACGGGAAAAACTACTGCGGGATTGTACCTGTCTTTCACCTAAAGAGGTGAAGTGAAACAAAAGCAACCATCCTATAAAATGCTAGATTTGTTTCTTCCTGCTCCTGGACAGTAGTAATATAGTTGACTTTAGCATAAAGCTCGTGGACCTTCCTAAGTCACTCACTAGAGGGCAATATTTTGCCTGTTATGAGCTCAGCTGCTTGGTCCACGCCATTGACATTTCATGCACATATGACCGTGAAAGGCACCGACTGACCAGACCAAATAAAATGCAAAGAAACTGTACATACCATGGACACTGACAACAAGAAAATGTTTTAGTATTTTACATTCCTAAATGCATTTCAAAAGGAGTTTCCACTCTAGTTTTAGACAGATGGAATTCTGTGTACACAGGTTTGATAATGCTCTGCTTGGACAGATTATCTGTGGAGAGAGGAACAGTACAACTTTGCACAAAGGTTTCCCCCCACCTTTAGACAGACAACTGATAGGAGAGATGTTCATTTCTCCTTAGTTTTGCAGAGCACTGATGCAAGTCATCACTTTCTAACTGCAAAAGCCCTAAATTGGTATCAGTGGGTCTCAATTGTTTCAGGTTGTGCAAATACTGATGATTCCTTCAAAACTGGTAAGAGCCAAAGGAAAATAAATTGCACCCTTCTAAAGAATTTTTATAAACCAGAATTTTTTTTCCCCTTTCTTTTCATGGGACATGTATTTTAAGCTTAAGACAAACTCAGCAGCCTAACAGCCAGCTATGATACATTCACATGGAGCCATAGCTGAATTAGCATAGCTTGGACTCCTGTAACTAGAAAGAGATGGATTGTTTTGGCAATAAACATCTTACAAAACTCTCCTAATGGTGTACAGGTCAGCCTGCTTCCCACTGAATTGACAGACAGAAGAAACAACATTTTGAGGTATCTCAAGATGTTTAATTGTGCCGTCCCAGCAGGGACAACTGCACAACTGCCCCAACAGAGGCAGAAAAGAGAACAGAGAAAGGAGAACTCTCCCAAACAGCAACCTTCATTTTCCCACTAGCTGAGTTTAGCGTAGGTTTTCTCCCAAGACTTGCAATTTGGAGATTTTTGTGAGCAAACTGTGGAGAGATTTTTCTTGAAAAGCCAAGATCTACATGCTCATTAGCCCTCTAGAGAAGTAAACATGACTTCCATTCTACACAGCAGCCTGATCTTGGCCTGATTCCTCATTTACTCCTGTAGAAGTGTGCTAGCACGACTGCAGCACACATCTGTAGAACAATGAACAGTCCTCTACAAATTAGGCTTCAGTGCAATGCATTTGGTTTTAATCTCCATCTGTTTTAGGGTAAGACTGACCTTAGCACCCTCTACAACTCCCTGAAAGGAGGTTGGAGTCAGGTGGGGGTTGGTCTCTTCTCCCAGGCAACCAGCAGGAGGATAAGAGGGCACAGACTCAAGCTCTGCCAGGGGAGGTTTAGGTTAGATATTAGGAAGAGATTTTTTACAGAGAGAGTGATCAGGCATTGGAATGGTCTGCCCAGGGAGGTGGTGGATTCACCGTCCCTGGAGGTTTTCAAGATGAGACTGGATGTGGCACTTAGTGCCACTGTCTAGTAACCATGGTAGGGTTGGACTTGATGATCTTGGAGGTCTTTTCCAACCTGCCTGATTCTATGATTCTGTGAAGCTACTGTTTTTCTGAGAACCCTTCAGTGCTTGCTGTATTCACTGCCAACAAACAGGAACAATAAACCTGTTTTTATTTACCTGGTAAAATCAGCAAGGTCCAGTATCAAAGCACAGTTCACGGCAACATTTATTCTACTCTTCCTGCCTGAATACTTTATAGTTCTAAATCAAATGCATGTACATATTGAACAGGGTACTAAATGGTAGAGGTAATCACATATCTGATGCTGATGCAACTTTCATAGCAATATGCACCACAGAATCTATCTGCATGATGTTACCTCCTTTTTCTGTTTAATTCTGACACAGATGAAGGTAAAAATCTCATCAGAAATGCTCACTTTTGGTCCCCGGAGTTCGGTGCACTAGATTTGTGTTCTCTCTCCTCTCTTTCTACCCTTTTCTTCATCAGACACCAAAAAGCTCTTCTGGTTTTTATTAACGCAGTAGGCAAGAACTGCTTGTGCACAAAACTGTGCTATCTAACACAAAATTACAACTGCATCTCAAACTTCCAACCTCTGAGGTTGGCAATGGAAATCATAACTGTCCCTGAGTTGATAAATGGCAGATTCTTCTCATCACTTTTGTCATCAGTAGTTGTTGGGTAAAACTACTGGATAAACTTTTGCTAAAGCTGTGTCTGCCCAGGTCTTCTTCCATCATATTACTGAAATTACATACAGATGTGATAGCATTCAGATTCAATAGGTAATAAAGAAAGATTATCCCTCTTCCAACAGTGTGTGCATTTATATATAACACGTAAGTGTAAAGATGGGCAAATAGTTCACCAGCAATTGTGCTCTGCATGTTCATCACTGTGTAGCTTCTGAGACAATGGCTTAGTGGTTCTGTGCACTTCATCTTGAGCTTCTGAAACTTCTTGTACATCATTTGATTATATTCATAGCCAAGTGATGAAGTTTCCTTCTATGACTGACTACTTCATTTCACAGATTTTTATTTAGAACAAAACTGAAGTACAGAAATATTTCCATTTAATCATTCTAATCTGCGTAAGCATCTGATTCTAACTTCAGCACAGACAGTGGCAGTGCAAGTAAAGTGGTGAGGTCCTATGCCTAAGCAGGTGCTAGCAACTTGCAAGTGCATACCAACTGTTTCTTTTACAAATGAAGAGAAGAAATGTGTGTAGTGCAGTGTCTATTGCATAGAAGGAATTTTTTTTTAGTGGCTAGACAAATATGTCAATGACAATGAAGACTGGAAGACAGTGATGCTCAGTTCCTTGCAAAACACATTTTGCAGTCTTAGACTGGCTCTTGAGAATGCTCTAGATAGGTTTTGTGGCTGTTTGGGAAAAAGTGGTTATCCACCCTAATAATTACCTTACCTGTCAGTGTTCTCAGGATGGGCCCAGATGTGGGGGCTTCTGCATGGAGGTCCCAGACTCAATTCCCTATCACTTAGCTGATTAACATACTTGGCACATGCAGTGAAGTTTGGTGGGCACTTTGTTGGTAATGTGTATAGCAAGTACTGTAGGATACTCACTGCAGGTCATCTGCTGGAGGAGACATGCTGCAGTAGCCTGTGCAAAGGGGAGGTTTCCTTGTCACTGAAAGCTTCTAGACCAGGAATAGCAGGATGATTGGTCACCAAGGAGGCCATGAGTTACTAAGATTAAAGGTTGGCTACAAGAAGATAATATCTAAGCAGGTGGAGAGGGTGAGCAACAGTACGTCCAGCTGGAGTTATATGAGAACTTAGCATCAGCAAAGAGCCTGGGAACATCCCTGGACTGCAGCCTGGACTGACTGACTATGGGTGTGTGCCTGTAACACAGGGAACCACTTCCTGGCTGTGAAGTCTTCAAAACATTCCCTCTTCTCCACAGCAACTACTCTAATCAGTCTGAATTCAGCTTCAGTTAGATATTCTCTACAGATGAGCTGATCCTGCCTAAACTCAGGGAATAACCTGCGGGAAAGGCAGAGGATGAAAGGTAGAGCTAGACACTCTCTGCATAAGTCTTGTGCTTGAATCCCTGTTATCTAACAAATCATTTAGTAACAGCAGCTAGGTATCAGAAGGACAACCATACCCAAGTCTAAACTGAGCAGTTGTAATGGGTCTGACTGCTGGCCAGACTTGCCTCCTCTGAACTGTAAGAATTCCTCTCCAACAGCTCTCAGTATTGCACTGTTTATTTCACTATATTCTGTCAGCTGTTCTACATTATCCAAAATGCTTCTTCTGTTAACACTCAGCTGGACTCTGTCCTACATACTGTAAAATCTTATGGCTCATACCACGCTTCTGGCAGCACTTAGTGCTACATATGCTTTTCTTGCAGCACAACCAGTACTTAACTTGTAGAGGCCTTTAAGGCCATCCGGTTTCAAGATGAGCTTCCACTGAAATCAATGGGATTTCAGTTCTGCTTCAGCATAGTGGGACCCCTGTTAGGTTTGGAGTTTCTGAAAACTTTTCCCATTACTCCCCAGAGCTTCTAAGATTCTAAGAGCAGTCTCATGTTTGTGTACACCAACCATCTTAGGTTGTATGAGTGCTCTCCAATGTTTATTCTTCAATTACACACTGTAGATGCAGATCAGGAAAAAAACCATCTTTCAGCATTTCATATACTCGTCCTTTCTTTTTTATTCCTTTTCCTCCCAAAGCCTTGTATTCATTTCTGCACTAGTTCCGCAGCAAATTGGCCTACTGGTTAAGGCAGGACTCCAGTGCTGGAGTGTTCAGGATCAGTTCAGTGAAATAGCTAAAAATGTGCTTGAGGGTACTCTGAATGTTTCCAGTTAGCAGCTTGAACTGAAAGTCTTGTGCAGTGTCACCCACTCTTACCAGTTATTTACAAGTACCATGGGAGTTGGCATTTGGATTATAAGATAGTGAAGGAAGCCTGCTGAAGCCTGGGAAAGAAGAGAGAAAGGCAGATCTCAAAGAAGGGATGGGTACTAAAAGAATGTTCCCAGGTGCATGGGCGCCATGGTCTGAAGGTGGAAAGGAAGATCTCAACATTGACTGGGACAAGTTGCCTTGTTCCTTTTTGTTTGTACCCAGGACACTTCACTAAAGAGGCTGTGACACTCACCAGTCAACCAGCTTTTTAGGCACACCCATGATGCAGTTCAAACATCACTGGAGCTGAGCTAGCTTTAAAGTTCCTCACTTGGGTTTCAGGGACAGACAAACTGCAGGAACTCATGTTAAGCCTAAGCTGCACTGCCTTCCCAGGACTTTGTGCAGGTACTAGACTGGTGGCTGGTTTAAATGTGTCTCCAGTATGTGCAAACAAATGATATAGATGTGCTTATGGACTGCAGTGTGAACAGAAGTGTCTTCCATAATACTCCTGATTGCCTGATGGAACAATATAAAAGAACCTGAGAACATATAAGAGAACCTCTGTAGGTCCAGAAGCACAAACACATACACACACAGAGTACAATGCCTGTTACCTGTGCATAAAATACCAGGAGCATTCTGCCTGTTCTTCAGTGCAGCAGGAAATGTGAGATTTGTGGTATGGTCTGGGGACTTTGAAGTTATGCTGCTCAGGACTGTGAATCTTCTCTGATACACTTGGAAAAAAGCAGCAAGATACTATATTTGGTTCTAAGTATTCATACTTTGGGGTGTGCTATAGACTTCCCCCTCCCTGTCTGAGATCATAGAATCATAGAATCAACTGGGTTGGAAAAGACCTCCAAGATCATCAAGTCCAACCCTACCGTGGTTACTAGACCATGGCACTAAGTGCCACATTTAGTCTCATCTTAAAAACCTCCAGGGACAGTGAATCCACCACCTCCCTGGACAGCACATTTCAATGCCTGATCACTCTCTCCATAAAAAATCTCTTCCTAATATCCAACCTAAACCTCCCCTGGCAGAGCTTGAGTCTGTGCCCTCTTGTCCTCCTGCTGGTTGCCTGGGAGAAGAGACCAACCCCCACCTGACTCCAACCTCCTTTCAGGGAGTTGGAGAGGGTGCTAAGGTCTCCCCTGAGTTTCCTCTTCTCCAGGCTAAACAACCCCATGTGACTTTGCACATCATATATCACTGTAACATAGGAAATGCACCTTTCTTTTTTTCCTCTCTCTTTTTCTTCTTTTAAGAAAACATTAATTATTTGGTTTATTAACTGCTAATTATGAAAATCAGCTTTGACTTGTGAAAGAACAGGACTTGATATGACCTCTAACTATTCCACAAACAGAATTTCACAGCCCAGCAGGGACTAATTCTTGTTCTGTTCATTCACCTGCTCTAACGTGTGCTGTTCCTGCTGCAAAGTATGCTTTGTCAAACAAGCCAGAGTACAAACCTTTTGATCCAGAAGTTGCTGCAGTTCACCCCTACCAGGATCAAGCCTTCCAGCCTGTCTATTTCATAGCAGAAAATTTGGAAGATGCCAAGGTCAAGCTTCAGTAAGTCAAATGTTTGTGGGTGTTTTCATTGAGGGGGGCACACTGGTTTGAGTCCTAATCTCAAATCCATCTCCCACTATTGCAATTACCATGCCAGGCTATCTCACTGCATCTGCACAGTGGTTTTTTTACAACAAGGTTAAACATGAGCTTGTTTATCTCAGGAAAGCTTTGCAGAAATTCAGAATTACATACTGCTGTGTCCTGTGCCATGCTTCATCTGAACAATGCTTCATTTTAGCAACTTCTGAAGCAAATTCTGTAACTGATAGGGAGAGTGGAGTGCAATCCTACCCTATGTGCTAGTCCGTACAAACAGGAGTAACGAAGAACTGATTTACCCAAGGTCACACAGAAATTTTATAGCAGGCTCAGGAATTAACATGGATCAGCAGGGGGCTTAAAAACAAGATTGCCTTTCTCCTCTGATTATAAGTGCCCAAGAATGCAGCATCAGCATTCACAGGCAAATCTAATTGCTATGAGGTAGCTGACTGCAACCTACATAACATGATTTCAAATTAGCTTGATGTGTTTCTAAACACGTTTCTTTGATTGTGTTATGTTGTGCAGTAAGGATTTTGTTCTTTTTTTTCTTTTTAAAAGTAAACTGGGTTTAAATTCTTCCCTTCATCTCTAACAGTTAGATCAACATGACCAGTTTTTGCTGGAGGCAGGAGGCTGGTTGTGAAGGTACTGAGGAGCATGTAGGAGGTGAAATGAGGAGTTTATGAGAGGAAGAGAACCTGGGCCACACTTCCTCCCTACCCTCCCTGCCTCTTCCACAGAAGCACTGTCTGCTGGGGCTATAGCAATGGCTAGTTAGGCTCCTCATCTTAAATTTGAAGGTTCATATTACATTTTTAATGTGTGTAAAGACTGGCAGAAGAGAGAGGACCCACAGAGCATTTTGACTCAGACAAGCCTGAAAAGAACGTGCAAGGACAAGGAATACACCATTTGCAGACTTGAAGCTTTTTCATGCTTTTTTTCTCAAGACAGTTGCACAGCCAAAGCTGCTCAAAAAAACCAAAGGCACAAGAATCTGTCAGCACAGAAAACATTAGACAACATCAGTAGAGGGGGTTCCTACCAGCATGTACTTAATGAAAATATTGTCAAAAATGGCAAGCAATCCTTTTTTTTTTCTTTTCATAGAGACAGAAAAATAGCCCAGGATGCCTAGTATCAACAGGTTTTGAGAATTTAACGCAGAAAGGACTACTCCAGGTTATTTCTTGGAAGTGCAGGCAGCAGACATGCTGTGCTCCTGCATTCCTCAGCTTGTGGTTATAATAACTCTGAGTTGTGTTAACGTCGAGCTGTAAGAGCACATACAGGTCTAAGTCAGCCACGCTGAAAAGCAGGAGTTGCAGATCATTAGGGCTGCAAGAAGTTCAGCCATGGGGTGAAGGTACTGGACCAGACGGTGTTAAGGAGTAACAGTGAGGAGGTGTCACAGAAGCCTCTGCTCCTGTCGTGGTTTAACCCAGCAGCAACCAAACTCCACACAGCTGCTCCCTCACTCCCCCACCAGTGGGATGGAGGAGAGAATCAGAAGGTAAAAGCTAGAAAAATTAATGGGTTGAGATAAAGACAGTTTAATAGGGAAAGCAAAATCTGCATACACAAGCAAACAAAACAAGGAATGAATTCACTGCTTCCCATGGGCAGGAGGTGTTCAGCACCTCCAGGAGAGCAGGGACCATCACGGGTAATGATGACTTAGGAAGACAAACACCATCACTCCAAATGTCTCCCCTTCCTCCTTCTTCCTCTCACTTTATGTACTGAGCATGATGTCCTATGGTATGGAATATCCCGTTTGTCAGTTGGGGTCACCTGTCCCAGCTGTGTCTCCTCCCAATCTCCCATGTTCCCCAAATTTCCTTGCCAGTGTGGCAGTACAGAAAGCAGCAAAGGCCTTGGCTCTGTGTGAGCCTGCTCAGCTACATCAAAAACATCTCTACATTATCAGCCCTGTGTTCTGCACAGAACCTAAACATAGCCCCAAACTTGCGCTATGAAGAAAGTTAACTCTACCCCAGCCTAAACCAGCACAGCTGTCCAATAATTCCATGACTACATACTGAGAAATTAGGTCCTACAGGTTTTGCACTTAAGGAAATGCCTTTTCTATGAGGTCTGTCTTCTTCTCCCACAGAAACTACGCAATGAAGATCAAGAAGCCTTTTTATCTGCACTACGACCCCTTCACCAGCAGCATAGAGGTCATGAACAGACCACAGAAAGTCAAGAAGGCACTCTGTCAGATGAAAAAGGAACTGAAAAACCTCTGCTTGGCCCTTGAAAACCTCACTTAAAGCTACAGCAGGACATCTCACCTGCCACTGACATACTTGTAGATGCTTCCAGCACTTGAAGGCTTACTGATGAAGTTGTAGTTGTGTGCAAAAGTCTTTAATGCACAAAACAGCTCAGTTCAGCTAATTTTTTCACTGTGATTTAGGTTGCTGACTTAGACACATTAATGAGTTCCTGCTTAGCATATTTCAATGACAGACAATACCAAATTGCTCCAATTTATGGTAGATGACATGAGATAAAACTGTTTGCAGTGTATTTTATGGTACGTGACAGGAAATACATCTGTTTGCAGTGTATTTATCTGTTACTGGACTCTTACACGGTTTTTTTTTTATTCATTTGCCATCTTTTCAAGGTGTCTGTCATGAAATAGCACAGTAACTTTCATCCACACAGTGATTTACTTGCTGCATTAATGACATTGTTCAGCCTCTTAGGTTGGCTAGCTGCCTGCAGTTAGTAGTCCTTGCAGAGAGCTCATTTCTGCTAGTAATTACTATCAGCTATTGTGCCCACAAACTGTGAATGGTTCCCTTACAGTATGCAAACGCAAAAGTTGGTGAGAGGAGCACTTTACTGCTGCTCACTATTTATTTTTTAAATACTCATCTCATTCATTAGACTTCAAATATGACAAAACAATTTCCTGTCGTTGTTGAGATCGCAGAATATTTGTCCCTTAACTAAAGTAAAAGGAAAAAATAAAAGGCCCAGGAAACTTTCTGGCTCTGTCACATACAAAGATGCTGAATTTGAATGGGAAATTTGGATTCTGGGAAGGAAAGTGTTAGGTAATGATAGGTTTTCACAGAGGCCTTTGAGAAATAAGCTTCCATTAGTTTTTCTTGAGATTCAGATACTCCTGGAGACCTTTAAAAATCTTTGTTTCTTATTGATGTCATGTTGATAGTAGCAAACAAAGGCCAAATTTATGGAACACCTATTGGAAAACCTAAGATCAACCAGTAGCAGATGTATAGCCTTGCCAAGGGAAAAATATCAGCAATGTGCTCCAACTCATCTTGCCTCTCTCTCCAGTCCCTCTTTGAGATGTGCCTGGAATTTATCTCCATTCTGCAGGTCACATCTCCCAGAATCAATCTCATATTTGCCTTGTCAAGACTTTCATGCTCTTCATGTCCCATTCCTTCCTCTATTGTCCACAAATAGAGAGTAATTCAGGAAAAGAAGACGGTGCTCAGGACTAGAAGGGTTCCCTCAGGTTACAGGGATGGCACCAGCAGGAGTGATGTGCGTCCTGTGGCTCAAACTAGGTGTTAGCAAGCCACAAATGTGAAGGTAGATTTATCCTCCACAGCTTAGAAGCTCTACTTATTTTTTCAGAAGTGTGTTTCGCAAGTGGCAGACATGCTAAAGACCTTATCCGCTGCTACCCACCATCTGCCAGTGTTCAGAGTCTGAATTCTGAGGTAAAATGTGAGGTGGTTTGGCTCCTGGTGGAGGAGTTATCACCTCTGCCTGAGCTGGTCACTGTGGGAGAGGAGCATGGACACAGACAAAACAGAGCAATCCACATGCTGTGGCTTCATACAGAACTTATCTCACTAATTTGTTTCCATTCCAGGCTCTAAAGAGATTGTCTTATTGAAAGTTAATGGAATGCTGAATCTTAAACCTTCATGTCTACAAGCACTTCAGACAATTTTCCCAGGGGCAGTAGAATTCAAGGTCTGCAACTGCTCCATTTTATTAAAATGTGGTGATGCATGAAAACTTTAAATGTATCTTGGCAAAAATAGCTATGAAGCCTCCTTTTTCTCAACAGCAGGAACATCCCAGGCTCTTTTTCTTTAAATTCAAGTTCAAGATTCTTCTGTTCTACTCCAGGAGAGCAATTGTATATCATAACCCCTGTTTTTCTAGAAATTCACCCAGGGACAGACCTGAAGTGAGTTCCTTTGCTTCCAGTATATTTCTGCTGCGATGGAGGATGATCTCTCAGCACGCTTTTATGGCTTTCATTCTACTTATCCTGCTCATAAACACACACACACAAATACCATTTCTCTTCAGAGCAATTTGTTTCCTTACATATTGTAATAATTTATCTGTCTGCTTCCTGCCAATTGGTGCATAGGCAAAAATGCTTGATAGCTCACAGCAGATTGTTTTCAGAAGTATTATGTTCATCCATCAGTTCTTTTATACAGTGAAAATTGAATCATGCGCTCCAGTTCCGTGTGTTTTCTTTTTCTTTCTTTTTAAGTGGAAGATAATGCCAGAGCGGAAGAGCTATCAAAATATTTTCTATAGACAGACTCTGTAGGCCATAGGGTCTTTTTCATGTATTCCCTCTGAAACAGTTGAATGTGGAATTTAGACTTGAGTTTGGCTATTGCTCAGAACAGACCTATATTTGGAAGAAATGAGAGACCTGATGGATTTGTTTTGCCCAAGGCCTCACACTTTCCTTGGAGGGACTCCAGGCCCGCCCACACACCCTTGTCTTTTCCAGTTCCTGCAGCAAAGAGAGAAAAAGAAAGCATTTGGAGCCAGTTTCTCCCACCCTTACACATGCTGAGGAGTACCCAATCTCTCGAGCAATCCCAGCAACAGCACTGAGCCTGTCTAAGGTGCTATACATAGAAAATAAGAGCAGGATTATCAAAACCACTGTGGATGTACTTGCATTTTTATTGTCCTAGTGACAGTCAGATGGCATGCATGGCTGGGGTAGGCTTCAGTGAAACTTAGTGAAGCTGCGAAAGTAATGGATTTAGCTATTAGAACTTTAAAGATGCAAAAATATTTTTCCAAAGGAGCTAAATCCTTCCCTCCTTACTCAGACAGAACCTACCCCAGGATAGGCATGTTTGATACTCCCCTAAAAGAAGGTGCTAATTCTTCTCTTTTGATTCAGTATAGTGACAAAACAAAAGCCTCCAGGGTTGCATCCTTATGAGATACACTGGTCACTCTGCTCTTTCAATAGTCATTCTTCCATTTCCTCCCAGAAGCCAAGAAGTATCTCATACTCTGTCAATCTAAGGCAGCGGTGATGGGAAAGGCAGCGATGGGGTCTCCTGATGAAAATAATGGCACTGAGGAAAAAGCACCAACCAGTAAAAAGATGTCTTTTTGTCAGTATGCATTTCAGCAGTTTCATATTAATCTTGCACAAGAAGGCTCCAAAGCCAAGTAAAACACATCTTGTGACTTGAAACTGAACTGATGAACTCCCTGTGAGTCCTTTGCTTATCCCGATAAACTTATTTTTCCTAGATGGAGTGCATGTAGAACAAAATAGTGTATGTTATTAAATCTGTATTGTGTTGTTCCCTTATACATGGGAGAGCTAGTAAATTCAGTTTGTGGGTTTGAGTTTGTTTTGTTTTTTGGCTAACCAAGTCTGTCCTCCACCAATTTTGGTCCACCTTCAAGCCTCCAGCTGCTTCACTGCTTCCCTGCAGACTTACTAAGGATGCCAAGGGTACCACTGTGTAAGGAGAATACACAGTTATGCAATTTGGGGAATTTGGCAGGACAGGAAGAAGAAATTTAGGCTGGCCTCCCACCCACTCCCCTGAGAAATAGTATTGTACTACAAGGCAGAGCTGTCATCCTCAGAAAGACCTTCTCAATCACATCCCTCTTGTTCCCTTAACATTTCAATCTTTATGCTACCTGTGAATGCAACCCTTACTTAGCCACTTCAAGAAATGCCAGTGGTGAGGGTGGGGAGAGGAAAGAAAAAGATCTTCCAAGAAAGGAAACTTCATTATCATCAGTCTTCATTGTCTCTACTGATCCATGAAGGAGGAAGAAAACAAATCAAAGCAAGCTTCCATGGAAATGATAGCATGTTCCTCAAAGAACTTAAAACACATAATTCTTTCATGTACAATTACACACACGAATCCCTCCTTACACCCATCACTGAAGCACCATCATTTACCCAGTAAATCACATCCACCAATTAATCATGCACAGAAGTGTTACATGACTGTGTGAGTCAGGAAATGAAGCTACCAGGAAAAACCCTCCACTACTGGAGGGTATATACATACTCCCTTATGCACATACTGCAAAACCAGCAGGTTCAATGAAGCCTGTTTCTATAGATATCCTACAACATGGAGAAATTCCAGCTGGCATAGAAACAGAGGGGTATGTACATACACCCCTAGTAATCTCACTCTCCCCTAATCAGGGGTTTGTACATGGGCTTTGAGATTTAGTTAGAGAACATTACATCGCAGCATTCTTCAGCTGGCACATGATCAGAGGTTGGCAGAAAGAGTTACTGGCTGCATTGTATTAAATATACATTAAGTTTGGGTAATGCTGGTGGCTGAGGCCCAAAGTGAAAGCAAATCTCTGGCACCCTCTCCCACCACAAATATTCCTCAGGGGAAAGAAAGACAGACTAGAAAATTCTGGCTGACAACTGGCAGAGTGAAAGGGGTGAGGAACAGAAAGGACTGGTAGATAGACCTAAAACATGTTTGCTTTGGATAGGCTGGTTTGCTATAGCTGAGAAACATTTCTGTCTGAAAGGAGTTTTTCAGCATAAAGGATGAAATTTTGTACCTGTGAGAGTATGGAGGAGCCAAGGTCAGTTAAGACTTTTTCACCATGCCTGAACAGTGTTAGCCTTATCTAAGGCATTTGCTTTCAGCATGAGGCACAAAGGTTAGAAAGGAGGAGTCTTTGGGAAAGTGTTTTAAATGATGTCTGGGAAAGAACACACCAGAGAAAGGCAGCAAGGCTTGTGAAGGGTCTAGAAAACTTGTCTTATGAGGAATAGCTGAGGGAGCTGGGTTTGTTTTGTCTAGAGAAGAGGACGCTTAGAGGGGACCTCATCGCTCTCTACAACTACTCAAAAGGAGGTTGTAGAGATGTAGGGACTAATCTCTTCACCATGCCCCAAGGAGGTGGTGGATTCACCATCCCTGAAGGTTTTTAAAATAAGACTAGATGTGGCACTTAGTGCCATGGAGTAGCAACTATGGTAGGGTTGGACTTAATGATCTTG